TTTTTTTTTTTTTTTTACGATTTCATTTTATGAGTGTTTTGCCCACATGTATATATGTGCACCATGTGGATGCCTGATGCCCACATAAATCAGAAGACAATGGCTCTCCTGAAACTGAAGGCGCTAGGTCCCTTGTAAAGAAACAAGTGCTCTTATCTACTGAGCTGTCATTCCAGCCCCTGTCTTCTTTCTTTCTTGTTTTTTTTTGAGACAGGGTCTTATCATGTGTTGCTGGCTAGCACTAAGAAATATTTTGTATTACATTTATTTGAGGGGAAGGGTGTGCCATAGAATGCTTGTGGAGATTAGAGAAGAAACTTGCAGAAGTAGGTTCTTTGCTTCCACTATGTGGGTTTGGGGATTTAACTCAAGTCTTTAGGCTTGGTGGCTGTCCTTTTACCCACTGAACCATCAGAGTGGCCCCGTCATCTCCCTTGATTATTTCTATCCTAGTGGATCTAAGCTAGCATCTCATCTTTTTGTTTTGTTTTTTTTCTTGTCTGTTTTTTCTAATTACTAATGATTTTAAGATTCACGATTTCTTGTACTAGGGATGTAACTAACTAGTAGATCTGGGAGGCCCGCATTGCTCATGTGGAATTTACTCTTTCCCACTAACTTTAGATTGTGAATAAGTGGAATACAGCTCTCATCGGCCTTATGACATATTTTCGAGAGGCTGTAGTGAATACTCAGGAACTCCTAGACTTATTGGTAAAGTGTGAAAACAAGATCCAGACACGAATCAAGATTGGATTGAACTCCAAGATGCCAAGTCGGTTCCCCCCTGTTGTGTTCTACACTCCTAAGGAGCTGGGTGGGCTTGGCATGCTCTCAATGGGTCATGTGCTCATCCCCCAGTCTGACCTCAGGTAGGGCTTGCTTGACAACTTTCATATTAGTCTCATTGCGTAGACTCTGAGGGAAGTGGGTGTTTTGTTACTTTTGATTTTATCTCTTCTCAATTTTGCAAAACAGGTGGTCCAAGCAAACCGATGTGGGTATCACACACTTCCGTTCAGGAATGAGTCATGAAGAAGACCAACTGATTCCCAATTTATACCGCTACATACAGCCGTGGGAGAGTGAGTTCATTGACTCTCAACGGGTCTGGGCTGAGTATGCACTCAAGAGACAGGAGGCTATTGCTCAGAACAGGTGGGCATCCACGAGGGTGTACCAATCTAAGGGCTGGGGTTGGGTCACAACACTGGGAGTCTTATGTGGAGGTCATGGGCGGAATATGTTTTTTTTGTTGTTGTTGTTTTGTTTTGTTTTTCGAGGTGGTTTCTCTGTGTAACCTTAACTGTCCTGGAACTTGCTTTGTAGACCAGTCTGGCCTGGAAGTCATAGAGATCTGCCTGCCTCTGCCTCCCGAGTGCTGAGATTAAAGGTGTACACCACCACCGCCAGGCTCAAAATATGTTTTTTAGGAGTTAAGAAGATTCTGTTCATCCTTGGCTAAAGCATGTTGAATCTTTCTCTTTGTATGAGAAAGGATGTTGACTTTATTTTTTCTGGCAGACGGCTGACTTTAGAGGATTTAGAAGATTCATGGGATAGAGGCATTCCACGGATCAATACCCTGTTCCAGAAGGACCGGCACACATTAGCTTATGATAAAGGCTGGCGTGTCCGAACTGACTTCAAGCAGTATCAGGTATGTGGAGTGGAGAATGGAGTGAATTTCTGTAAATCAGGATAGCTTTTGGCATCCCTGTCACTTAGGGTGGGAGGCACCTGGAAGCTTCACCATACTTGCCTCACTGTCTAGGTTTTGAAGCAAAACCCCTTCTGGTGGACACATCAGCGGCATGATGGCAAGCTCTGGAACCTCAACAACTACCGCACAGATATGATTCAGGCCCTAGGTGGCGTGGAGGGCATTCTGGAGCACACTCTCTTCAAGGGCACTTACTTCCCTACCTGGGAAGGTCTGTTCTGGTAAGGACTCTGTCCTCTTTACTTGTCACAACCACCTGAGCTCCTCACTGCTGAGCTTTAGTGGTTTGCTGCTTCTCAGTTATCCTGTGGGCATTAGCCATCTCTGGGAGATGGATGAGTATCATCTTATTTGGTTCCTCTGCCCCTCAGGGAGAAAGCCAGTGGCTTTGAGGAATCCATGAAGTGGAAGAAGCTAACCAATGCTCAGCGATCAGGATTAAACCAGATTCCTAATCGTAGATTCACCCTCTGGTGGTCCCCCACAATCAATCGAGCCAATGTGAGTGTGATTCTTCAATATGGGAGATTAGAAAAAGGTGTTTCTGTTGCCTTAATTTTGTCTCTAATGTTATTTCTCTTTCCTGACAGGTATATGTAGGCTTCCAGGTACAGCTGGACTTGACAGGAATCTTCATGCATGGCAAGATACCCACACTGAAGATCTCTCTTATCCAGATATTCCGAGCTCACCTGTGGCAGAAGATCCATGAGAGCATCGTGATGGACTTATGTCAGGTGAGAGATCACAGAGTCATACCAAGCTTGCTACTTTTTATTTATTTATTGTTGTTTTATCCATTTAGTTTTAGGGTTTTCTTTGGTTTTTTTTTTTTTTT